GGGGGGGGGAGGGGGGAAAACGTGGTCAATGATTGTGCAATTTGTCAAATTATTGCTACGTGACTGTCCTGTCTTGCGGTGGAAAAGAAAAGGAGAAAGAAAAAAAAAAGAAGGTTGAAACTCACCGCTAATCAACGACTCAAGGTTCTCGTGACTGGGGCTCATGAAATTTTTGGGCACAGGCACGCCAACAATGAGACATTTTATAGCTAATCGCCACCTGCTGGCCTCTCGTAAATTATCCTCGTACTTGTCAAAACTGCGGAACCTTAGCGTGATCGTGGTCCTTTCTCGCCTCTTGACACCTTTCATGCGTGCCTTCTTCAGCGTGTACGCATAAATATAGAGATAGGCCGAGGTGTCGAACTCGTCGTAGCATTGATACGCTTCCGCAGACTCGACGAGCTTGAATTGAGACCTCGAGGTACCTGGGCCACAGACACAGCTTCCCGCGCTTTTGCGTTTCGAACGCATACATCTGCACCCTATTATGTCGTTTAGAACGATCGTTTCAACCTTCGTCGCACCATTGTTGTCCTTCTCTAGGCTGAGACCCTTTTCCGTCAGTCTCACCTTGTAATACGTGTTCTTCTTCGACGTAACGTAAAACGTTTCCTCAAGAAGAGTGTTAGAATGCACTTGGCCACCGTCCTCCATGACACGCTGATGATTGTCTTTCATTCAGCAAGATACACCAATCACATTGATAATAGTACTATAGGCAGATCGTTATCGTGGTAATTAAGGCACATGATAAACAAACTCTGTTTCTGTTTCAGCTGGATAAAGTTCCCTTTATTGTAGACTTCCATTCTATTTAAGAAAGAGAATAGAGATGCCCCGAACCACTCGACGACTTAATTTTTCGTCTTCGATCCTTTCATTCCCTCAGACATTTAGTTACTCGGGCTGTCGTGTTACGAATTTAACGAAGCACGTGCAGTTTTCCGAGCAATGCATCCGTAACATTGTTCCTCGGTAAGGGATTCGATTTACGGATGAAAGGAATTTAAAT